GGTTTTTCTTCTCTGGAGGCCTATCCCACTCTCCTGGCTTCACAGGGCTGCGTGGGCAGGGAGCAGGCCACCGGGGAGGGGACGGGGAGGGAGAGAGGAAGGGCCGGTCGCCCACACCGTCTGGCTGGGCCCCTGGCCTGCCTGTGGGGGGTGAGGGCAGAGCCTGGGTTGGTCCGGGCACTGGGTGCGTGGGTGGGTGGTGGCAGGGGGCTGGGGACCTTCCCCGAAGGCCCGTCACTTGTCCGCGTGCAGCAGCAGCAGGTCCACGGCCTCCGCGAGGTTGTCCACGTACCCGTCAGCCTTCACTTCGGGATGGTGCTCGTCGCTGGGCCTGGGGGGGCAGAGGCGGTCAGTCAGGCCGCACGGGGGCCCAGCTGGCAGTGCGGCAGGGCAAGCTCTCTGGCGGGCCAGAGGTCAGGGCTCAAAGCAGAACAGAACCTCCCCCAGCAAATACCCCACCCGGTTCAGCGTCACGTCCCTGGCACCGGCCCCAGGACCCCCTCCTTGGGCCCCTCCGCGGCCTCAGGCCGGCGTTACTGTCCATCAAAGGAATGCAACCCCAAGAGGGCACGAGAATCTGCCCAGAAAAGAGGACACCTTGTGGCCCTGGCCGGTGTTGCTCAGTGGATAGAGTGTCAGCCTGCAGACTGAAGGGTCCTGGGTTCGATTTCAGTCAGGGCCACGTGCCTGGGTTGCAGGCTAGATCCCCAGTAGGGGGCGGGCAGGAGGCAGCCGATCAGTGGTTTTCTCTCGTCATTGATGTTTCTCTCTCTCCCTTCATCTCTCTGAAATCAATAAAAATATATATTTTTTAAAAAGCCACGTTGTGATGAGATTCTGGCCAGCCCCCTCTGCACACGGTACTAGCTGAACGGCATACGTGGCTAATTATGTTTAATTACATGTCATTTAAATTCAAGATCCATTAAAAGAAAGACTTGCATTAGCAGCCGGCGGTGTTTGCCGACACAGAGGAAATGTGGACTTTTATGTCTTCACTACACGACGTTGCTGAGGGCTCGGGGGACCGGGTGCGTGGAGGTACTTGCCTGGCCCCACCCGCCCCGAAGGCCCAGCGCCCCCTCCATGCTGGCCAGTGGCCTGTGGCTCGTGGGGCCTCCGTCCCGCACACTGTGGGGCTGAACCACAAAACCCAGCAAAGCTGTGCCCCTGGCAGTGGGCGCAGAGCAGAGGGTGCACGTGTGGGCTGTGGGGGCCTGGGGTGCGGGCGAAGGTCCCTGGTTGGGGGTGGGTGAGTCTCACACGCACCCCCAGGACAAGGGACAGCTGCGCCTGGCCCCACGTGTGCTCACAGCCCCGTGGCGGGGCATCCGACGCGTCCACGTGAGATGAGGACACGGACACAGAGGGCTGGAACCTGCCCAGAGCCACGGCAGGGAGCTCGGAGCTGGGGCTCCATCCTGCGCGGCTGGCTTTGCACTCATTTTAGTGGTCCTTCCCTTGGCGCCTGGGACACGGTCTACGCTTGGGCGCCACCGAGGTGCTGGTGACCTTGGCCTAGCGCCTGTGGGCCGGGCGCCCCTCACCCTGCAGGCTCCAGGACAGAGGTGGCCCGGGGGTGCTGGCCAGTGCAGTGAGGACGGCTCGGTGTTTGTGGAAAACCCACGAGGAAATAAATGAAAGGAAAGGCACGGTCCACACGGACCCCCATGAGGTGCTGAGAGCTGCCCGGGCAGAACCTGGAGACACCGGACTCCTTGTCTGGGCCTCACGGTGGCCAGCGCCCGGGCCAGGCCTGAGCAGGGGCCA